TCCTTTTCATTTAGTTTATACACGCTAAGTGATCTGGGCCAGGTATTTGTATGTTGATGGGTCTTTTATGAGCTTTCGTTCGGTTTAAACACATGACCTCCTGTCTAACTCTTTGATCTGGGCCACGAAGGATTTGTAGGCTTTAATGTGCTGGGGCTACTAAATTAGAAAAGGAAGGATTTGATTCCCGACTAAAACGAGTGAGAACGTCATGGTAATTCATGAAAAGATTATACTTAAATGCCATTCAAAAAAGGATTCTACATAAATGGAATCAGTGGGAGATTATGCCCGACAAAGAAAATATGAACACGGCTAAATTGCAACGTATCTTTTTTATGTTCATTTTGTAGAAGGATGCTTCTTGCAGCATGTTCTTCATAATGAATCCGGTGCTGTGAGACATTATGCTTGCACAAAACATCATTTTTTCCCGTTTCAACGCACGGGCATATGTCCTAGTCATAATCAAACCAGCAACATAGGGTCACCAAATTTGAGATTCTTTTTTCAACCGCATAAAACAAACATCAATAACTGAATTCCATTTAAGTATTACACATTGCAGGATAAAAAGAAAAAGTAAACGGGTATTACACATTATAAACTCACCTTCTTTGTGTCTGTTGGCGGGTTGCTTGACCAAATTTAGTAATATGCATGCCAACATGTCAAAAACGTTGAGCACCAATAAAGCACAGCAAACCATAGGTAGAGGATAAATCAATATACTTCATTCATATGCACTAAACGCATTGTAAAAAGGTATAAGTACTGAAATGGAATCAAAAAACCAGAAATAAGATTTGCATAATGGAGTGAGATATGATTACGTTAGTGATTTTTAAGAGAGTGACCAGAGCTTGTAGAGTTAGTCGTTGAGTTTTGCTTCTCTACCACAACAGCTCCGTCACGCGCGAGGTTCTTGCTCTGGTACTGCTGCCCATGCACTCTGCAACTTAGCCTTCGACAATCTACATCGTCCTTGAAGTCCCGGTGCTCTTACTTCGGATCCAACAAAACTGAAGGATCCCTGACCCGACAAATCTGAAGGATTAAAATAAAATAAAGAGTTCAGTTGTGAACTGCGGTAAGGGCTCCATCGCACACAATGCTGGGCGTTACTGATTTAGCAACCGATGACGGAAGGAGAATACTCTTCGGAGCTCTATACCCTGTCCATGACATGTCATTTCTGAAATCTTAAGAGGAAGTGGTACGTTCT